ACAGTATTGGTGATTCTGGAGGTGCGTCTGTTTCCCAGGCTCTTGCCGTCAACTCGTCCTTAACTAATTTGGATTTGAGGGAAAGCAGTATTAGTGATTCTGGAGCTGCGTCTCTTTCCCAGGCTCTCGCAGTCAACTCTTCCTTAACTAATTTAGATTTGAGTGAAAACAGTATTGGTGATTCTGGAGCTGCGTCTCTTTTTCAGGCTCTTGCAGTCAACTCCTCCTTAACTAATTTGGGTTTGAGTGTGAACGGTATTGGTGATTCTGGAGCTGCGTCTCTTTCCCAGGCTCTTGCAGTCAACTCCTCCTTAACTAATCTGAATTTGAGGGTGAACGGTATTGGTGATTCTGGAGCTGCGTCTCTTTCCCAGGCTCTTGCAGTCAACTCCTCCTTAACTAATTTGGATTTGAGCTGGAACAGTATTGGTGATTCTGGAGCTGCGTCTGTTTCTCGGGCACTTGCAGTCAACTCCTCCTTAACTAATTTGGATTTGGGTGGGAACAGTATTGGCGATTCTGGAGCTGCGTCTCTTTCCCAGGCTCTTGCAGTCAACTCCTCCTTAACTAATTTGGATTTGGGTGGGAACAGTATTGGCGATTCTGGAGCTACTGCTCTCTTCCGTGTGAGCACGGTTAATACAACGGTGCACGTAGATGGTCTTGTTCTTGATGATGATAATGATGAGGAGGAGGAAGAGGACGAGGAAGAAGGAGAAAAGGACAAGGAGAAGCATATAAACTGGTAATTTTAACGTACAATGGTTATAGAATAAAATGATAATCCTCATATTTAGAAAAAATGTTGAGTGTTAAAGGAAAGTCAAAAGGGGCATTTCGGGGACCTATACATTTGAAGAAATTTTTTGTTTGCGCTCTAATCTCAGAAATAATTACATAATTTCTGCTTAAACTCGAAGTCTGAAAACGGGTATGGATTTTATAAATGAATGTTAAACGGAAAAAACCATCAGGGATGCGTGACACTCGTATTTCAATAGCTGATTTGAAAACATTTGACACTCTTTGATATTTCTTTACCGAGTATCACACTATCATGGATTTTAAAAGTCTGGTCTGAAAACGGGTGTAGAAAAAGACATTTTTGGGTTTGAAATAGGGTCAGGATTTGGAGAACCGGGCGGCACACGCCCACCAAGAATTCCCAGGAGTGCCCTCCCCCCCCGCCGACCCGGAGCCTGCATCCTAACTTGATATTTCTTGTCTGGTGTTCACATTGTTCATAGTTTGCTGAAGTGTCTCTTGAGGTTTAACATCCAGGACTGAGTTGCTCAAAAGCATGGTTAGCTTTAACCATTGGTTAAGCAGTATCAAAACCAATACGTTGTCAAGGTATTAAACGCTGGTTAACGCTAACCATGCTTCGAGCAACTGGGCCCAGGGCTTCTTCCTTCACTAACTGTTTTAATTTGTGACGCATTCATTGAATTCAGGTTCCCTTGAAAGAAACAGAATGCACCCAGTGTGAACACAAACCAATCTATGGACGTCTTCATCGAAGACAGCACATATATGGTGCCTTACCAATTCAGAGCGGAGAAAGAATCAATTTAATCATCATATGGATGCGCTCCTCTGCAGTGCGTAGCAAGCTGCGTCCTATGTGCAACAGGGTACCCAGGCTGGTGCCATCTTTTAGGTGATCTGGTGATGGGTTTACTGTTAACCCTGGCTCTCTGAAAATCATTTGTTGATTCTATTGTGCTAATTCTTTCTGGGAACAAGTTCAAAATTTTCGCAGCTTGGTAACAAATAGACTTACGTCGGCCATAAATTGTGATTCTTGATGAAGTTGAAGTCAACATATAGCTAGAATGCTTTGATCTTGTGCAAAGCACGCGGAGTACACAACTCGTTATTTTTACTTGCAAAAGATTGATATGATTAACTAGAGTGGTACATGTAAGCGCGCCAATTCTTTGACGCTTTTAAAAAAATCAGTCCGAACTGAAATGCGATAATTCAAGTTGGCGACTCTCCTTAAAAACTACCGTACTTCCTTGAAGAATTGCTTTGAAATAATGGCTAAAACAGGGGGTGCTTATTGCAAGGAGGGCACTTAATCAATGGAGGCGCTCATGAAGTTTTCCTTTCAACGAATTGTAACTTTGTTTCGGCTAAAGTAATATTAATAGCCTTTCATTTGCTAAAACAGTAGTTTAGTAATCAAGCGTACCGTGGTCCCATTATAAAACACGTAACCCTTTAAGCCCCAATATCCATATCTAAATTCTCCATACTGATCTTTATACATTTCCAATTAGTTGATTAGTTGTCTCTTTAGTGATCATTAGTGATTATTTTATTAACTCCCATAAGCATTTCTCTTGGCAAAATATGGGTATTGTTAGGAGAAAATTGATGTTGGTCACTATTGGGACTTAAAGGTTAACTCTCAAACAGGGCGTAAGAAGCTAGGGCGTTGAAACGAGCGGGGTCAAGCGATCTAGCTGTGATGCAAGGGTCTGGGTACTACCAAAGAGACAAAACAAGATGGCGGACATTATACTGGACCGTCAGAGAGATTATCCAGCGAAAGTTAGGCATTTTCCCGTGGCATTCATTTGCTGCAAGCAATAGCGAAGGAACAAATTATTTTTTTCTCACGTTCGTTTTCTGTTTTGTTCAATTTTTGCCCCGCGAACAAATATCTGTATTGAATATAGTTCCACCTCCGTGACCTGTATTAAAATTTCGTGACTTGGTAAGAAAATGGCATCATAACTCAGATGATAGCACTGACATCATTTTTAGACTAATATTATCGGTTCTCTACTTCACTTAAATATCAACTTGTGTTATTCATCATCTGCTATGGTATTATTTTTTGCTGCCCAGTTTCAAGGCCAGATGATCTGTTTTCACTATTAAAGTTTGGATTTGTTGGTGTACATCAGTATTCTTCTATAAACACCTTATTGAGCTATCTCCAATATTAAGCATTACAGTTGGACAAATTGTGNAGGCCAGATGATCTGTTTTCACTATTAAAGTTTGGATTTGTTGGTGTACATCAGTATTCTTCTATAAACACCTTATTGAGCTATCTCCAATATTAAGCATTACAGTTGGACAAATTGTGAAAACTAAAGGCCGGCGCTTATTCGAGGGGGAGGGGGGGCGGGTATAAGGGGAGGTCGTTTATTGGAGCATGCGCGCTTATTGTAATAGAAAATACGGTAACTTTCCAATCAGAAACGCTGTGATGGTCGTGTCAGTATTTTGCTATTTTATCCGCTAGTACTGTTGATAAGAACACAATAAGCCAACTAGCGCGTAAGACAGTCACGCAGATATAACTGAATAACAGAGCCCGTCTTCTTGTTGTATGGGATCCGAGATGGTGTAATTTTTTTATGGTTAAAATTCACTAACGGGTATTTTTGACTTTTTAAAATTTTAACCCTGTCACTCTTCATAGACCTAATAGTGGCCTAAAAAATTCACGTGGAAATAATACTCAAATTTTTGTTTTGTAAACTGTAAGAAATCTGTAGTACCATACAAACGTTTTACCGAAGAGGTTTCATTCGAGCGGTAACACCATGACATTTCGACCTCACATTTAAAAAGTAGGGTGATAATTAATCTCGCCTCGAGATCGATTCTTACCTGTATGAACATATTCTACGTTTATTTCGGATCATTTCCGCGCCCCTATTGTCGCACTGACGTCTCTCATCCGCAGAGGCTCCGCTTGGCAAGCGCGTCGGGAGGTGGCCCGCGCGCTTCTTTCTTTTTTCCCTCCCCAGCCCTCCCCACGACACTTGGTGGCCTTTGCGGTGGAAAGAGCGCACTGACAGAAATTTCCTGCGGCATTGTTTTCACGGAAATCACCTAATGCCACATTTTGGAACACACCTGGCAAGTGTGTTAAGGTTTGCTATTTTTTTTCTAAAGCTTTCTGCCAGCATACCGATAGATGAACAATTTTAATCAAATATGTTCGTATTACTTGAGTTGATAACGTTAATTTGCCAGTTTAAAACGATTGAAAAGCCGGCAATGGAACGAATGACTCGCTTTGACTAACAGCTAGCGTTCGAAACGTTATAATTAGCCTCCTTCGCAGCCGCTCCGGCCGAAGTCATGTATTGTCGCGCCCCCCGTTCCCCGACATTTTAATGACGTCATAAGGGGTACAAGGGGCGTGGTTCTAGGTAGGTTGTTGAAATGTGCAATAGATCAACCTTGGGCAGCCTGCGTAGAAGGCACTTGGATCTAATACGGGTGTTCCAAGCGCCTCATACGAAGGCTCAACCTTGGGTACCCATACTGTTAACTGTATCTCGAAAAAAACTGTTTACAACTTTGATGTAATTTTTTCAATGTTTAATGGTGCCACGGTTCTAAAGACTTCAGTATTGCTGTTTGCTCAAAAACAAATCGGATCTACTCTCTAGGTTAAGCCTGCAAGGAACTTAATTAACAGCTATTTATCAAGGCCACGAATTGCTTTTTTTCGCATGCGTAGACAAGCGAAGAAAACCTGAGATTTCGGGTGACAAATGCGATGGTCATAGATAATACGAGAAATTACAACTCTCGATAGAGACTAGTGTCCTCAGGCGTGGTTGACTGTTTCACTCGCATGACTGTCACTACAAAGAAAAATTTGGGCAAATCCGACCTCCCTAAAGATTAAGCTCAGGGCGGGGTGGGGGTATTTTCAGGTGTGCAGAATCCGCTGGCGTGAAGGGCTTATGATAAGGGGACAGTTAATTTGTAACCAGGAAAATTAGCGCCATGCAACAGCGAGGATGACACGCGAGCGCATCATCCTGGTCTAGACACGGCGTCTGCTGCGCGGGCAGCGTCTGGTGGATCTTTCTACTCGCACGCACTCGAGCAGTAGATACCCATAACGTCCCACCTTAGTCTGGTCTCTAAGGAGGATACAGACAAGATCTGTTTACTTACAATTGTTTTTGGTGGCTTTTAACGCTTGATTAGTATGATTAGTTTCGGGGTTCTGTTCCTTACAGTTCGGTGTGCCCTCCATTAACAGTTTTCAACCCATCGGTGGTATCCTTAAAGCCCCCGACCGGTGTCGACAGCGGGAGCTTGAGCTTTTCCCCCCGTAGCTGTACTTTGTCAAGATATATCACGCGGACAGTCAGATCATTGTAGGTACGATAGTACAACGCCTTATGGGTAAGGTCCTTAGCCACAATCCAGTTGGTATAGTCTTCGCTGGCAACTCCATGGGGAATATCCACAGTATTCAGGATATGGATAGCCAAGTTTACGGCCTCGTCGCTCGTCTTAACCGGATCAGCAAAGTGAGTCAGCGTAGCGGCGCGAACCAGTCTGGAGGGAGGTGTCAAATCGCCTGGGGTACCAAGCAAACCACTGCCTTGACCGATGGGTTTAAAAACATCTCCGCCCAAATTCAAAGGCTCGTGTGCGGTTTTGTTGAGTTCAACATAATTACGAAGGTTAATCATATCGAAATCATACCGCGGAGAGTTGGTACACACGCCGACGGTGTTTTCGTAAACTGTTCTCCCCTTGTTAGTGAACTCGATTATGATGCCTGCTCCAGTTTTGTCGTAAATTGTGTGGTGAATTTCTAGGGTGTCTATTCCCGCTAAATTGACCTTTTGATCAAACACCAGCGGGAACGATCCGTTGTTCAATGCCTCTTGTACCTCCTGGACGGTCGCGAAGTTTCCCAGAACCAATTGTAAATTAGATATGGACGATCTGTTGCACAAGCTCCCACAAACTTCCTGTGTTACAAACGAGAAGAGTTAAATACATTTTAAAACGCACAAAATAGCAGATACGCAAGGAGGAGGCAGTCGCTTGAGAAAGATCGAAAGCCCTTTACCATGGAAGAGAAGTTAAATGCGATACTGAACTCTATCTGCATCAGCTGTTTGCATGAGAACAGACTGCACTTACCTTCGTTCTGAGAAAGAGTGGTAACTTGGGTTATTCGGAAATAGCCAATTGCTTTTTTGACACCCGCATCGAGTACAATCACTAATTTTAAAGAACTAGTCGACTAGTTTTTATAAAGTTTTCAATTGAGTGATGAGCGACTAGTGCATATTGACATGTGCTAGGGACAATCATGGAGCTCCATCAAGGAAGGATTGTCCTGAGCCCCAAGCCCTCACCTTTTTACAACCTTGTCCCCAGGGCTTTACACTTAGAAAATGGAAGGAGCAGGAAAAGCACATGGCATCCACTGGTCACGTGTTCTCTAGCTCGTGCAGTCTAAAATCTTGGATCTAATAAATTAGCGCTGTGGAAAATGTGAACTTCCCGCCCATCACATTTTCTTAGGGAAAAGCCGTTGGGAGGAGATTGATCTTTTATATTTTTTACCTTGTCAAGAAAAGTACCTCTTTTCATGCCTGAACTCGTTGATCCCAATCGTTGATCCTACGGGCAGCCTTTTCGAGAGGAGCATCCCTGTCCTCCTAGGTGTTCCCGGGCATTATTCCTCATTATTCCGTGCGGGTTATGCGTTTCGAGTAACGTGGTCCGAGCGAGTCTCCCGGCCGTTCGCCTCGGATACGTTATCGACATACATCGACCGAGAAGACCTTGGAAAACGCCTTATAGGGACGCGGCAACGTCTCTCATAGAAGGCCTGGGTCACACTGTCTTAGATTTTCTTTCTAAAAAAGTAATCACTGTAAGGAATGGAGACATTTACGCAGATCTCAAGTGCCTAGGCCCCACCAGACAATCACAGTGTTGCTGCTCCCCATCCGGACAAAGGGTCGCTATTCATTCGATCACTGGCAACATCCCAACCGTAAGCATTAAGGTAGATGACGGTGTATCTATTTGTCCAGTTTTGAAGTGGTGCACCAGCATGATCAGTATTATTTCAGTAAACGAATAGATCGACCTCGTGAAAATACCCTGGGGTTCCACTATGGGGTGTCTGACCGGAGATGCCGATGACTACAGTACTTTTGTCCTCTGTAGTTACTCGGATCTCCGTACAGGCTTTCGCGATAAGAAACAGATGGAGCAGTAACTGAATTACGATGATTAACCTCATATCGTGTAGACTTGCTGATGACAATATGAAAGTACCAGAATTCCGCTACATTCAACATTTAAGGATAATAATATAATTCTTATCTAAATGGCGTAAACCAAAACTAATTCAGTTTTTTTTCACAAGTCGATATCAGGGAATTATATCCTTAAATAATAAATTTCTAAAACAGGTTAATTTAGGAGAAGTTACAAGACATTTTGGGATTTCATCCATATCGTTGTCTTCTGTGAAATCCATTATGATGTTGTCAGCTGAGTACCGGGAATACTCCTTATAATGGCCTCTACCGGGAGGGGGGGGGGGGGGATTA